ACAGAATCAAATAGATAGATAGATAGATAGATAGATGATAGATGAATGAATATGGACAGAATCAAATAGACAGATAGATAGATAGATAGATAGATAGATAGATATGGACAGAATCAAATAGACAGATAGATAGATAGATAGATAGATATGGACAGAATCAAATAGATAGATAGATAGATAGATAGATAGATAGATAGATAGATAGATAGATAGATAGATAGATATGAACAGAATCAAATAGATAGATAGATAGATAGATATGGACAGAATCAAATAGACAGATAGATAGATAGATAGATAGACAGATAGATAGATAGATAGATATGGACAGAATCAAATAGATAGATAGATAGATAGATAGATAGATAGATAGATAGATAGATATGAACAGAATCAAATAGATAGATAGATAGTAAGAAAATTAATAGAATGTGATAGATAATGAATAGAATGAGATAGGTCGATAAATAGATAGAATATGAATAGTGATAGATAGATAGATAAATAAATAGATAGATTGTGAATAGGGACAGATAGATTATGGATAGATAGATTATGAATAGAGAAAGATAAACAGATTATGAATAGAGATAAACAGATTATGAATAGAGATAAACAGATTATGAATAGAGATAAATAGACAGATTATGAATAGAGATAAATAGACAGATTATGAATAGATAGATAGATAGATAGATAGATAGATAGATAGATAGATAGATAGATGCAGGATAAAATTGTGATACATTGGTAAATTAATAAAGTGCATTGGAAAGTTTAACTTCGGCCACATTTTTTAAGTGACTATCGAACTTTGATAAAACGTGGATGCCTGTCGTTGCAGATGAATGAGTGTGGAGGATTGACAGCTGGAATAAGAAATAAGACGACGTCCGACACAATAGCCAACCATATGCATACATGCGCACGCGTGTGTGTGTGTGTGTGTGTGTGTTAACTCTTTAGGTGCGCGTATATACTTGCAGGTGCGTGCGATGAAGGCACATGAGCGAGGAAAGAGACACTGTTCACGTTTGGCTGTTGTGTTTTTTATTGTCTGTAGGCGTCGACGCGAAAGTGAGAGAGAAACTTGCCTGCGTGTTGCTGTGTGCGGACGCGTGTAAATAAATAAATAAAAAGAAAAAAAATATCGCGATTGAGTATTCCTTTGTGTGGAGGTATTTTTACGCATTTTAGTCTGACACAATTGCAGGCCACCTAGTGAGGATGAAATACGCTAATCATTAACTATCAATCGTCGGCTTGGGGCTCAATAGACATTTACAAAGCGAGTACATTTGGACAACACCCAGTGAGGATCGAAATCGTTACACAGGAGTAAATGATCGTTAACACCAGAGATGAAATGTTCTCTAGTTATTTACAAAGTGATGGTAGTACTGGGTGAGGATCAGAATTCACTGCACTCACAAACAGAATTTACAGCACGGAAAACACTGTAACTGCGCGTGCATATATATATATATATATATATATATATATATATATATATATATATATTAGAAATGTGTATGTACCTTTCACCTATCATTATGTATATATATGTTGTATGTAGGCATGTGTGAAGCAGCAAACAATTTTACAGTGTGGTATCTTACTTACCTACCTATAATTAATATATATACATATACACGCATACATACATGAATATATATATATATATATATATATATATATATATATATATATATATTAACACATGGGCTGTATTTAGTGGAAAGTGCTCAATATCTGCGATAGAGCTAACATACATGCAAACTACTATACATGCAACCGTATATATATATCTATATATATCTATATAAGTGTGTGCGTGCGCGTGTGTGTGTGTTTTTGTGTCTGTCCTACAGTAGTAAAGATTACTTTATGTATATTTACATATCCCTGTAGGCCTGTGCGTTAACTTTCCACACAGATAGATATGAAATAAACAGAACTTATTTTGACACAGGCCTAAATGAGAGGATTGATAGAAGGAAGGACTGTGCCAATCTTCAAAAGATTCTTTACCTTGAAAATAAACATTATTTGAAATCGCTTGAATATGCGTGTATGTATGTGTGTTAGTTAAGCTGAGAACTGTGCAAAGCCAGAGCTCCATAGGAAGATTATGTTGCGTCAATTTTCTGATTCTAAAGTTAGCTTGCTTTGAAAATTACTATTCATTCATATTCAAATCCGTGCCTTAATATTACTCAGAATCAAAATTATCTTCTCTCTGTCTGTTTCTATCTATGAAACAAATCTGTGTGTGCGTGTGTCTACAAGTGAACGAATATAATTTGAAAAATGTATATCATTCATTATAGATTTTATGGGCTGTAATCGTTTTACCAAGATATATTCACAATCTCTCTCTCTCTCTCTCTATAATCCACCCTTTTACACACGTTTTATCTGTTATTGAGCATATTTATCCATCAATATGGCATACTTAAGAATATATATATATATATATATATATATTTTATCATATATATATATATATATTAACATATTATATATATATATATTATCATATATATATTATCATATATATATATTTTATCATATATATATTATCATATATATATATTTTATCATATATCTATATTATCATATCTATATCTATATCTATTTATCTATCTATCTATATCTATAGTATATATTGTGACTTTCTAAACGTAGGTTAGATGTGGCACAAAGCCGAAAGTATCAGGGTACCCTATGAGGATCGATCTCACTATTGAGTCGTAATCTACTACCTAATTTACCAAGTGCTCATATATGTATGTGTGTGTGTGTGTGTGTCTATATTGGCCTCTTGATGCGCGAGGTGCTGAAAATTTCTCAGCTGGAACAATGTTTGGTCACTTGGTTCGATTTTAGGAAGTAGGTCAGGCCGAAAAATTTTCAGTACCCCCTCATGTACTGATATGTGCAATATACATTAAATGTTAGATTTGGAAAAACACCTAGTTTATTTAGTTTTTATATATTCATATATAATATTTATTAATATATGTATGTATGTTTACACACAGAATTATTAAAATTTGTTTTATTTACATATACTTTAACCGGTTTCGTTTTATTTATATTGCACACGTATATATATAATCCGTGTGTGTGCTCGCGCGTGTGTATGTATATGATGTGTGTGTGTGTGTCTATACTAAGTGAACGTTTTGCATATCTTGATTAAAGTGTGTACATAAAACAAGTGCGGCCAGAGATTTATTTTATGAATGAATGTTTTAAATGTCAGTTCTAAAACGAGCGTAAATGTGTGTGTGTGTGTGTGTTAGTGTGTGTGTGCGCGCGTTGCTTTTCTTGATGGTTTATGCATGAACAAACTTCTATCTCTTCGAGGCTAATGCTTTTGTGCTTCCATCTTTCACTAAAGGTGGGTAAAACCTCAGCTCACACGATATTTCCACTTTTCCTTGTTATACGTTTTTGCACATTTTTTTTTTTTTAAATAAACAAGTTTTTACGCACTTTTGTCTAGCAGCTTAAATGGCAGAGGACATAAACGTCAATGCTTCTGTGTACATCAATGGGTGGGAAAGACCTACACCTTGATTCTACTCCGAAGTTCTTTCGAGTGTCTGACATGAAATATTTTCAGTATTGTAGCACATTATTTTTTTAAAACTTACTTTTAACGAGTTTTATTCCTGTTTATACGCTTCTTCTTTTTTTTTTTTTACTATTTTTTCTATCGTTTTTTACTTTTTAATGAAAGTACCTTGAAAGTTGAAAGTGATTGAATATTGGGCGCTTGGCGTAGCACGATAACTAGTTTTAAACGAATAACGCAGAGAGTTCAATTCTCGCTGAATGCGATACGACTCTTGATTTGTGTTAGATTAAGTTAAACTAATTTTATTAGATAGCTGTTAATGAAGCCTCGACATCTGTATAGCGATGATTAACAAGTTTGTGTTGCAAACCAATTCGATAGTAAACTAAACTGCATTCAACCATGAGCGGGATAACCGCTCTTGTACCAGACTTGTACGGAGAGCGTGTAATAGTTATCGGCAAGGGAAAGTGGGATCGCGGAACCAAATTCCGGTCTATCCTTATTGTTTGTTTTTTGTGTTTTTTTTTTAACTTTGTTTTTTTTGTTTTTTTTTTTAACTTTCGCATTAATAGCCCTGGGAAAGACATGAATACATCTTTTTTCTAGCCTTGGGTGGTACCCAGTTTAGGAGAAAGACGACGCTGAATTTCGAACCGGAGAGAAAGCAACTTATTTTTCCCAAAAAAGTCATGGTAATTCATAGAAAATAAACTATAAAGTGGGGAGACTTGTTCGCTTACATCCTGAAGAGACATGGTATAAAAAAAAGAAACGAAGTAGCAAGCATGGCTGAGTATGGTAGGACACACCTGTTTAGGGATACCCTATGAGGATTGACTTTAGTATAGCAATGATCATCTAGGTGGGTTTGCTAACCACTGTTTTACGACTAGGTTTCATACGTGCGTGTGTATTTATTAGTGAAGGTAAAGTGATGTGTACATGCGGAAACAAGGAAAGTGTTAGAAGAATGTCTAATCCTTTTTTTTTTTTTACACAACTGCAATAATAATAATATTTAAAAAAAAATCAACATTTAATTTTTTTTGTTTTTTGTTTTTTGACGGAGCGGGGTGTTGGATATCTTTTAGTTGTAACCTTACCTTTAGAGCTTCCTTTATTTTTATATCGATATATTCTTGCACACTTTTCTCATAATCCGTGTACTGTTGTTCTAGTGTTCCTACTCTTGTCTGGAGAGTAGCAAGCGTGCTGAAGTAGGTCCAAGAAAGCCCAAACAGGATTACAGACAAGGTAAAAATAACAAAAGCCGATATCCACTGTGGAAGCCGAGAGATAGCCGATCGGTCGATATCTTTGGATTGTTTTAATATCTCCATGCTGGAGAGAGAGACTTTGATTTCACGTTGACATAAGCGAGCTGCCGGTGTGTCGTTAGATCAGCACCTTCATGAAGGAAGTCACGCTCTCCTGCTTCCTCTCCCCCGACAACAACAACAACGACAACGACGTCGACCACGACGACAACGACAACAACAGCAAGTGCGTGTGTGTATATATATATGTGTGTGTGTGTATGTTTGTGTGAGCACCTCGCTCTCTGGTCCTGCTGGCTCCCATCAAGTAAGAGATACCGGCTGCCGCTGGGACAGCCCATTCAGACCGAGGAGCGAAGGGGGGAGCAGCTAGTCATCAGTAGCGCGGCTGCTTCGTTCGCCCTACGCACCCGAGATGCGAGTCAGCACCTGAACCCTCCCTCTTCGACACAACTTAGTGGACTCGTCCCGTTTTATCTCATCAAGTGGGAAAAAAAATCTGAAAATGTTTTTACCGACCTCTTTCTTTCGTTTCCTTTTTCTTTCTTTCTTTCTTTCTTTCTTTCTTTCTTTCTTTCTTTCTTTCTTTCTTTCTTTCTTTCTTTCTTTTTTCTTTTCATTGGTTCTTTTAGCTTTTCTTTCATTTTGCTTTTTCTTTTTCTTTTCATTTCTTTTTCTTTCTTCATTTTCATTTTCTTTTTATTTGTAAATCTTTCTTTTCGTTTTTCTTTCTTAATCTTTCTTTACATTTTCTTTTCATAGTTTTACTCTTTTCTTTCTCTTTTTGTCGCTTTCTTTTTAATTTCTTTCTTTCTTTCTTTCTTTTCATTCTGCTTTCTTTGTTTTTATTTCCTTTTCATTTTAATTCTTCCTTTTTGCTTTTTCATTTTTCTTTGTTTCTTTAACTTTTTCTTTTCTTTTTTCTTTCTTTTATTCTTTCTTTTTCCTGATTCGTTTCTTTTCATTTCTTTTTCATTTCTTTTCTTTTCATATTTTTCCAGTCACTGATTCTTTCTTTCTTTCTTTCTTTCTTTCTTTCTTTCTTTCTTTCTTTCTTTCTTTCAAGAAAGATGTTTACACGTAAATAAATGATCAAGAGATTTTTTTGTCTTTTTCCGTCCAAATCACAAGGCTAAAAAAATAAATAGAAAAATTATTTTACAGGAGAATATCATTTGGCAAACAAAAACGGACATCGATAAGACATTTTTAGACGGAATAAAGCATTTTAAATACAAATAATATTTATTAGTTTATTGTTTATACTTATCCGTGCATTTCAAAGAATGTTCTACTGAATTCTGATATTTTTTGAAACAAACGTCAAATGAATTACCCTTCATTTTGGTCACATTTTAAGTTAATAAGATCATATTATTGAAACAGTATTTTCGTTTAAAAATGACGGAAAAGAAAAAAAAAAACAGTAAAAAATTAAGAACAGCTTTCAAAATGGAAAATGTCCTCGACCAAGATCTCATTATAAGACCCCCCAAAAGTTTCTTTTCTTTTATTAAATTTAAAGTTTCAAATCATCTATTTACTAGGTAGAATATTTTGCTTAAGATAACACATTAAAATACCTAATTAAAACAGAAAGTTTTTATTCCCATTTTAAAATAAATTTTCATTTTAAATAAATTTTAAGAATTATAAAAAGTGTGTTATTAGAGATCAAGTGACAACAAATCTCCTGTATTCCTTTAATTATTATAACTGTATTCACTGAATGTTCACACCACTTGTAATGAGTGGCTTCCATTGTAGATAAAGTGACAGCAAGTCTGCTTTATACTGCACTCTTCTCAGTATGTTTTCGTAATGCTGTCGTCTAAATAGGCTTAATCATTCTTTGGGATTTCTAATTTTTCTAATCTCTTTTGCAAGGTTTTTCTGTACTGTTTCAAGTGCGCCGATAATGATGAGTTTCAGATTTTTGTTTCAGTTCTCGTTAAAGTTGTAGAAATACTTTACGCGCCTTTTTTTAAAAAAAAGATAATGCCACTAAGATGCAAGGGGTTACTGAGAACGAGAAGACATCAAAAGGAACTATAGACTCAATCCTAAACAGGAAACAAGGGAAAAACCTTTACTCATGCTCAATAGACGGGGAAGGCAACAAACCTCCTGTATATTATTATAGCTGTATTCGCTGAATATTCACACCAATTATAACAAATGGCTTCCACTGTAGGTCAAGTGACAGCAAGTCTGCTCAATACTGCACTTTCCTCAATACTTTTGCTGTCTAAATAGTCATAATCCTTCTTTGGGATTTCCAGTTTTTCTAACGTCTTTTGCAAGGTTCTTCGGTACTGTTTCAAGTGCGCCGATAATGATGGGTACAATTGTCACTTACATGTTCCAGATTTTGTTTCAGTTCTCTTGAAAGGTGTAGAAAAAATTTCCGCGTTTTTTTTTTTTTTTAATCTTTTTTCCCCAAGCAAAGTGATAATAACATTAGTATGAAAGGGGTTACTGTGAGTGAAAGGAACCATCAACTCAGTCCTAAGCAGGAAACAAGGAATAAACCTCTACTCCTGTTCAAGAGACAGGGAAGCGTTGTGAAACGAGCGATAAGCGAACCTATGTACTCGTTTTTATTTTAATATGTGGCCTCTTGGAACAACCATAATCAACGATCCATTTTCATCATCTGCTCTCCTTGACAGATTATTGCTTAATAACAGTAGAAAACAGATCCCCCACTTTTTGTTCAGCAAAATCTCACTTTAAAACGAGTTTACCCATGCCATAAAAATATTTTCTTTACTCCTTATTATTATTAGAAGGTTCTTACATATGAGTTTATATATATATATATATATATATACAATTTCATTATTTCAAACGTTATTATAGTCGAGACTTCATAAGAAATCTTAGTAAAGAAAGTGTATTCTCCGACAGGGATCGGAACATTTACTGCTCGACGACGCAAGAATCAAACGAATACAAAAATGAAAGTATTTGAGTTGTGTGGTAACAGATGACGGAAAAACTGACAGAAATCCTAAGGTCCATAAGATTAGCGAAAATGTCTTTCAGAAGCTAAGCAACATATTAGGAGATATGAAAATATAGTGGGCTTAATGCAGTGGCGTGGCTAGAGTATGTGCTACACAAGACAGCCATTTAGTTTTCTGTCATCCCCCCTATACAACATATTGTACAGGAACTTCATCTTATAAAGAAATCTAGACCACTTCTTATAATGATATTATAAATAGATGCTCCTACTAGTATTCAAAAAACAGAAAAAAGCACATATTAAACAGTCAAACATGAAGAAAAATTAACAGTAACTAAAAAATTGCTAATAGTAAAGAAGTGGCCGAAAGCGATTGGGACGATGGACAATACGGTCAATTTTTGAACTTCCTTACCCCTGCCAAACGAAAAAAATGGAAGAATCCTGGAAAAACTAAAAAAAATAATTTACATTTTCCTTGTCTATCATATTCAACGAAACATATTTAAAAAGAAAGGTTGCTGTCCAAATATACAGGAATATATATATATATATATATATATATATATATATATATATATATATATATATATATATATATATATATATATATATATATATATATATATATATATATATTTATATTTAGTTGGATTGATGTGAGTTTGTAAGCCTGGGTTTCACGCTCTCTGACGATCACTGAGTCACAAACTAAATATGAATCCAACTAAATATGTTAGCTCTATCACTGATATTGAGAGCTTTTCAATAAGTACGCATTACTATCGGTATCGAGCCCTCTTTTGAATTAATGCTGTGAACGTTGGAATTTATATATTACTTTCGTTCTCATCATCGGATATATATATATATATATATATATATATATATATATATATATATATATATATATATATATATCAACTAGTTTAGTTTGTGTACCATTATAATATTACTTTCACATACACAAATATATTAGTATGCTATAAAATACAGACAAATCATACTTAAACTTTAAAAGTGGTTGTTGAACAGAAAGCAAGATCAACATATAAAAAAAAAATTAAACAAATTTTGAAACATTTTTATTTCTAAAATGAAAAATGCAACATTCAACAAAGCCATTTATTATATGCTTTTTATACACAGGCTTATACATCAGACCCTAAAATGCTGTCTCCATAAAAGTGTCGCCTATGGCGGATCTCCCATTCCCTATCTATCTATAGTAATTTCTATATCTATCAATTTTATATGTATATCTATCAGTTCTCTCTCTCTCTCTCTCTATCTATCTATATATATATATATATATATATATATATATATATATATAGTAATTGCTATATCTATCAATTTTCTATCTATATATAGTAATTTCTAAGTAATCAATGTATTTTTTAATCCGACATTATTTCCTCAACTCAAAACATTATTTTGTGGATACCCAGTTTTGAGTAGACGCCCTGCTTTTTTTTTTAATAAACAGTGTAAATTATATCTATCAGTCTGCGCATTCAGGAGACTTAATAAAGAAAATGTGTTCTCTAGTAAGGTACGAACCTGTGTTCCCATTGTAGCAGAATACGTCCTACCAGAGAGCACATTTTCTTTATTCCCTCAAATGCACAGGCTGATAGACAACATGAGTATCCACAAAATAACATTTGAAGTAGTTGGAAATATCTATGTAATAATTTCTCTCTCTCTCTCTCTTTCTCTCTCTCTCTCACGAGCACGGTGGAGTAATGGATAACGGCTTGGATTGAGGAATCGGAGATCCGAGTTCGAATTCCAATCGAATCCATTAAATTCACTTACATGCTAATACCCTTGAGAAAGGTATGGATCCTCTTCTTCTCCCTCCAGCTATGGGTAAATAGCAGGACAGACTCGGTTCTATAGACTTGGATATAGGTTTTTGTATTCAGCCCTTCAAAAAGTGTGGATGGTTCTGTAACCTTCCCCACTTGTTTGACTGTCGGTTCATACGAACTGTGCTGCTTGACAGGAGAGTCGGATATATATATATATATATATATATATATATATATGGCAGAATATGTTGGACAATCTCCTCACAGATGAAGAAAAGGCATGAATCAACAGAGTTGTGGGTTTGGCTGTCGGTTCATACGAACTGTGCTGCTTGACAGGAGAGTCGGATATATATATATATATATATATATATATATATATATATATATATATATGGCAGAATATGTTGGACAATCTCCTCACAGATGAAGAAAAGGCATGAATCAACAGAGTTGTGGTTTTCCTGACGAATGCTATGAAAACCATGAACATATGAGCAACGAGGAAGTTTTAAGGACGATAGAGACTTCAAAGAAACTTGTACTTACAGTCATGAAGAGGAAATTAAAATGTCTGGGACGGATAACGAGAAAAGGAGACACGGAGAATTACAGTGTATATTGAATCAAGAGAAGCAAGCGGTTTACACTGGAGATTAAGTCTCGTTTCTACTCGAGATTTATTGCTCGAAAATACAGCAATTTTGACAAATCTCGTCTCTACTCTTACTATCTATTTCCTGTCCCACTAGTTTTTTTTCCTGGTTTCTTCAGAACTGTTCTCAGCGCTCTGATTATGCGGGGTCGGTGCAAGGGTCTTGTGCCTACGAATCTCTGATACGCCCCCCCCCCCAATCTATGAAACGCTCCCCACATACTACTACATCTCAATTTTAATAATGTAGTATTCATATAAAATACAAATTATATTGTAACCCAATAATATTATAAATTATATTGTTACAAATTATATTGTAACATACAATAATGGATCATATGCAATATAAGCGAAAAATTCAACTAGAAATATTGAAAATAAATACAATCTATCTAAATACAAATCATAATAGATCATTCTATCTTAAATAAATCAACAATGCTTTGCGGCAATTTTTAACATCAACTTGAGATTTTTCTTGTTAATAATTTTAACACGTTCAACATTATGAATACAAAATAGTAAATTTTATATAGTGATTTTTTAAGAGTTAGCATAAGCA